CGCGTCCTTCACGTGCAGGTGTCTGCTAGGATCACGCCTAGGTCTGGGGAAAGGAGGACCTCACCCGCGCGGTCCCCAGCAAGAAGTAAACCCGCTTCGGGACTGGGATTTCTTGCTGCACCTCCTTTACACAGGCCGGGAAACCCTAATCTGAAGACTGGCCTAGAGTCGCAGCTCAGGACCCCGCTGTGGCCCGAGCCCAGAGCGGGTCTGGGGAAGCGCGCTGCCGGTTTCCAGTCCCCTCCCCCACTGCGAGAGGCGGACTTCGACCGGCCTCCGGCTTTCTTACCCCGGCTTCCCCGGCCCTTCCCCCTCACTAATTCACAAGATCCCCGTAGAGGTCGGAAAGATCAGACCACAGCGCCGGACACAAAGGGTCGAGGGTTCCTGGGAGCCGCGGGTATTCACAGCCGTGAGAGGGGTCCCGGCGCTGCCCGAGGTCCCCTTCCCTGCGGGGACAATGCCGCGGCCCAGCCTCCCTGGGCACAAAGCGCGCCGGCCGCGAGAGAGGGATTAATGTCCCCAACAACGCCCGCGTCCATCCAAGAATCTCTGGAGTTCCACAGCTCACACTTCGGCCTGCGCTACCGCACCACCGCCGCGGCCCTCTCGGGAGCCGAGAAGGGTGTGCTTGGCTGGGGGCGGGTGGGCACTTCATCCTACGTAGGTGGAAAGAGTTCCCATCTCCCTCCTCCGCACAACCTTCCCTTCCTCGCACGTTCGGTGGCGCCCTAAGATCTGGGGACTCGGGACGCTGGGAAGGGCTAGTCTGAGGGCACTTGACCCGCCGCGAGGTTCACTCCAGCGGTGAGGCTCCCGGTACCCGGGGGAACCCGAGGCGGTCCACGGTCTGCGGAATTCCGGTCGGTAATTAACCCAGGGCAGAGGTGTGCGCAGGGTTGGGGGCTAGGGGCAAGACCAGGGACCGCAGAGTTACGGTGCAACCCTGGGCTCCTGGGGACCCTCCCCGCCGAGTTGGCCGCCCTGCCCTCAGGGCTGCCAGGAGCGCACAGCGGGGTCTACCGGTACAGGGCGCTGGCGACGGTGACAGCGACTCCTCCGCCCCCAGCCGTCCAGCCTGAAGCGCTGAGGACTCAGCATAACGGGGACGCAAAAGTGTGGGAGACCCTCGCTCTAAAAGTGCGACCGAGATTTTAACCCCTAGATCTGTGTCTGCTCGGCTGCCAGGGGCTGGGCTTCTCTAACCACGAAGCCGCCGGCGTTCTGAACCACACTGGCGTGAGGGAGAAGGAAAACGAGTCCCCGGTTTAAACAGCTCCGAGCCAGAAGTTTCTCTCCCTGGCGGGCGCGCGGCCGCCTCTCCTGGGGGAGGAGGAGAAGCGCAGGTTCCCCTGGGGCAGGAGAGGTGGTTCCTCCGCGGTGATTCTCCGCCGGGCTGGCGGCCAGAGGACCCTCCACTCTCACCGACAGCCCAACCCGCCTCTTGAACGCCCCTCGGCGGAGGCCCGCTCGGCCCCCTCACTCGTCGCCCGCTGGGAAGCATGCTCCTGAACTTGGGTGAGGGAGGCCAAGAATGAGCCGGGAGGGAAATGCCCCATGAAGCCTCCTCTCTAAACTGGCTGCTCATTCTGTCCTCCGTCCATCCTCCTTTCCCACACCCCTCCCCACCTCCACACCCGCACCACCCCTTATTCCCGTCGCCTTTTCCTGAAGGATCTGAACTGCCGGGAGTGGCCAGATAAGCGAAAGACCGAGGAGAGCTCTCAGAGAGAAGTCTGGCAGGCCATGGTCCCCGCCTCCAGGGCAGTCTCCGCGAGGCGCAGGCCTGGGACAGCTGCCACCCCCTCCCGATCTGTGCGCTCAGGGAGACCTGCTTCCGCGTGCTCCCCCTCAGATAGACACTCTAGACTCAATTGGGGATGACCCCGGACTTGGATCTATCCCGCCGACCCAGCCTCTGGCAGATGTCCTGCGGCAAGTCAGTTACCCCTGGACTGGGCAGGGCGCCCTGTACCCATCCAAGTCCCTCAAGAGCACCCGCCACCCTTTCAGGGCTCAGTTTCTGTGCTCTACCATCTTCACGCCTGAGGATGCCCTGGGGTATGTGTGGGGTGTCCCTCCTCTATCCCTCCTCCACTGCAGCTCCTCTCCCAGCCCCCCAGGGTCCACCCGACCGCCCCACCCATTGGCCGAGCTGGATCCGGGTGTCCCAGGTTACCTGCAGCTGGGCGGGCTCCAGGAGCGGGAGCCAGAGGAGGTGGGGATGTGCGCCTGGCCGAGCGGCCTCGGAGCGCAGCGGCCGCTGGCGACCGCGGCGCCATCATCACTGTCAGCTGCTTCCCTGCGCTGGAGCCACAAATAAGAGGGGCCATTCTGCTTCTGTCCACAAACTTCTCGGGCGGCCGGTGGAGACAAAGGTGCCGCGAGTCGCGGCTCCAGAGGCGGCAGCGGCGCAGCGGCAACCGCTTGGAGCCCGCAGGCGCACGCATTTCTGCGCTGCTTCTGCGCCAGGCTCGGCGTGCTCCGCCCCGGCCCGGCCCCCGGGCTAGGCGCGCGGGACCCGGACGTCGCGCCAGTGGGCGCAGGGCCGGGCTCAGGACGGTCCCCGCAGGGCGGCCGGCCGCGCGCGCAGCTCAAACCAGCGCGTCCGCCGCGCCCCGCCTTATATCCGGCCCGGCGCGCACCCGGCCAGCGGCGGCGCGGCTCGCGGCCCAGCCACCGGTTGCTATAGCGATGCCCCCCCCCACGTGTTGCTGACAGCAATTGGCTAAGGGGCCGCGGCTCTCCATACACCCTCTCCCGCCCGAGACTATGAATGGACATTAGCTTTGTCAGTCATTGGTACAGCTCCGCAGTCGGGCCTTCGATTGTTCTTTCTTTGGGTCTTTCTTTCATCGTTGAGTCGCACTTCAACCTGAGCAAGTTCAGGGTAGCATTGGGGGTGGGGCTGAGGCGGGGGAGAGGGGCCTCCACAAGAAAAGTCAACTCGCATGGCCCTACTGTGACCTTTGCCTATGGAAGGAAAGGGGAGGTCTAAACTCTTTGCAAGAGAAAAAATCATGGCAAATCATTCTTTCTAATTAGTTTCTCCAATTTTGCCTTTTAACTCCCTTTCAAAATTGAGACATGCCAATTATGCAGGAAAGCCCCTCTCCCCCAGTTTAGGTGTAACTCTCCAGATTTTAGATGTCAGACGCGCGTAGAAAGCTCACGAAGGGAACTGAGATCCAGGGGGAACTGAGGGCCAGCAGCCCAAAACGCTGGACAGAGACCGTGTGAAACCCAGGAAACAGAACTGCGTCCTAACCTCCTTCTCCGCACCCCGGGTCAATGGCCCAACCTGGACTACCGCGCCGCGTTCACAGGGCTCCCAGTCGCTGGATCCTAACCAAGTTCTGACCCCCTAGCGCCGGCCGGGGACACGAGCCAGACAGCGGTCTTGGGAGCTGGCCCCAGCACTATAACTCGCCGCCCAAGGCCCCTTCGCCAAAGCGCGTTCCCCTGGCCCTTCCCTCCCCCACCCCTGACCTCCCTCTCCAAGCCCTGGACCCAGCCACAGTTGGGTACCCCTGGTGCGCGGCGCCCCCGCGGAGCGGCGGAGAGCGGGAGAGCTGAAACCCAACATCTGTGCGCACAATGCGCTCTCCGAGGCCCACAGCTGCAGAAACAAGGGGAAGAAAGGAAGGAGCGGGGGAGCAGATCCTGTCACACGCAGATGACAGTCTGCGGAGGGCTCTTTAGTTTCTCCTTTTCTGGAAACCCCGGAGCCCCCCTCCCCGTTCCCTCTCCCGCCGCCTCCCCATTGTTCCCGGCGCTCCGGACAGCTGGAGACGACGGCCGGCACCACCCCGCGCCCCTCCCGCCGCACACCCGGCAAACTCCGGGGCCCCCACCCCGGGCAGGGTCGGGCGGGGCTTCCACCGCCTCACCTCCCCCCTTCCACTGCCCCAGACCTGCCCGCGAACAGGGCCTGGCCTTCTCTCTCCTGGAAACCGAGTTCCATCCAGCCGAGGAGCCAGCCGGGGCAGGGTTCCCAATGAGGAGTCGTCGAGAGAGACACGAGTTCAGTCCTGCCAAGTGCAGGCCTCTCTGTAACGCGTCCCAAGGACTCGGCTTCCTCTGGCTGCAGGCCTAAGCAGAGTTCTACTTTTATTTTTGTGTTTACAGGGACTGGGTGTGCGCGCCTCGCAGAGTTCCAGGGCACGAGGTGGCGGCGCAACCTGCTACAGTCCCTGTAGGCCTCAGTGGGCCGAAGGACGTCCGGTGGCCTGCGGGAGGCTGGGTAGGGGTGGAGAAGCGCCAGGGGAAAATGAGTTGCCATGGAGGTCAAAGCGAGAGAAGCTTCTCTCAGTCCTCTGCCCGTTAGTTCCATCCCCATCCAGTAGGCAGGGAGGGGCAAGTCACCTGGGTCCTTTCAGGTCCCCGCGCAGAGGACAGACCCCGCAGACTCCATGGTAAACCGGCTCCAGGCGCGGCGGCCGACCCTCAGCGGTGATCTGGCCTTTTTGAGGATGGCGAGCGGGCGGGAGAGAAGCGGTCCCCACTGTGGCCCGGCGGCCCACACCCCGCGCTTGCAGGGGTCGGCACTCTGAGGTATCTCCTCGGGCGGGCACTAGTGGCGCCGGCTCCTGTTCCTCCCTGCCACCATCCTCACGTTCCAGCCGTCCTGGGTGCCCGGTGCCCGGCGTCTTTAGCCAACCTCCAAGTCGACCCCTGGCTCGGGGCAGAGAAAAAGGAGGGGAGGAGAGGTGGCGCACGGACAGGGAGCATGGAGGAGGCCCTGGAGCCCAGGCGGGAAGAGAGGGAAGACGGCGGAGAGAGGGAACTGGGAGGGGAGGGAGGCCCGGAGGAGGGGACCTGCCGCCCTCAGCCTCGCTGGCAACCGCTCTCTCCATAGCAACGGCCTGTGCGCGCGCGCGCGGAGAGCGTGTGTGTGTGTGTGTGTGTGTGTGTGTGTGTGTGTGTGTGTGCGCGCGCGCGCGCGTGCTGGTAGCGGCAAGGCTCCTGCTCCTCCCTGGCCTGGGGGTGGGGTGGTGGTGGAAGCGGGTCGCTGGGGGCGGGAGTCAGAGAAGCCCCTTCCCAGGATGTAAAGTCTGGCTTCCAAGGTGCTGCGGGCACCCTGGAGGTTAGAGCACCCGCTCCCCACCCTTGGGGTGGGGACGCGCCGGGGCCTGAGCTCGGCCTCAGGGGGACCAGGTCTTGGTGCCCTGGCTCTCCTGCAGCAGTCAGGGGGCCCCAGGACTTGGGGAATGGCACCGAGCGGAGCACAGGGGCCTGGTGGCGGCTGCGGCCGCACCTCGCTCCAGGCCCTGTGGCGCGGCGGGTGGGGGCGTCGCGGTTCCGCGCACCTGCGTCTGGGCGGGAGCGCGGGGCTGGCGGGGAGGTGGTCGCGGGCCCGGGCGACTGCTGGGAGCCGCTCGTGGCTCCGCAAGCTGGCGGCCCGGTTCCGGCAGAGCGGAACCAGCTCAGAGGCTCCCGGAGGGCCCGGCCTCCCTCCGCGTGGGCCAGCTCCCCGCACGCTTCACTCGCTCCTCTCGCCCTCCATCCTGCCAGCCACAACCCGGTGTGGGATGCCGTCGGCCCGGCGGTGTCAAGCCCCAGCCTCCCACGCGGCCACCTCGGCTAGGACGGCGTGAGGACCCCAGAGTGACCCAAGGGTCCTGGGGCGGCCAGAGGCCGGCGACCCAGAGCAGGCTGGAGCCCAGGTCAGGGCGCGCGGCTCCAGACCAGATGGCCACTCTGCTTCTCCACAGCCTGACCTGGCGTGACAAAGTAAGTACAGACGTTGATTTACTCAGCCAGGTTTCCGGGAGTCCAAAGGGTTCCACCTGCGACACCAAAGTGCCACACTCCAATTCAGCCGATGACCTACCCGCCTCCCCCGGCTATGAGGAAGGATGGGTGCGGGGCGGCGGGGCCGACAAGGTGGACTTTGGTCACTTTTACTAGTGAGATGGTCCTTACAGGCGTCGTACGGGTGAAGAGCTCGGGTTCTAACCCGCACCCTGTGCGCCCCCTCGCCGCGCCCGCCGTGGGAAGCGGGGACCGTGCGTGCAGCCCGGACTCCCGCCCGGGGCCGCCTGACCGCGCTCTCCGCGGGCCACCTCCGGGGGAAGCCAAACCTGCTGCCCCTCGTCGGGAAAGGATGTAGGTGCCGACCCCTCAGCTCGCTGCTTGAAAGGACGCACTACCCCGCCCGGCTCCCAGCCCTCTCCGTTTGAATGCCTTCCTCATTTCCGGTGCAGGAGAAGTGTTATCTTCTAATTCTTGGAAAACTTTAGCAAAGTTTCCCTACAGTCATGACTCAGCTGTCGTGAAGAAGGAAGGACATGTTTGTTTTTTCCTGCCCCCCTTGATCATGAGGGCTTAGAGTTTTGATAAAGAATTTCAATTTAAAGAATTTCAATAACATCAGAAAAATGTTAAATATAACAGAAAGTATTTGTGAGACATTGGTTGACGTTCTTACACATGACAAGAGTGTATCACTCATGCAGAAGTTCAGGTTGCTGGACTGATGAATAAAAAAATCCAGTATACATTCCTAAACAATAGAAAGTAGTTTAAAATGATTTGTTGATCCCTACTAGTCCTTAAAGTGTATCTCACATTTGTCACGTGGAAAACCTAATGTGCTGTGATAAGAATCTCATTTTCAATTTAGGAGCAACTAAATGATTAGAGTAAATCTCCAATGTGCTGAATTATCGGAGAAAATGTATTTTAAAACAAAATAGAAAAAGACTGTCATGGGAAACACGATCATTATAAAGCAAAACAATTATTTTAAGAATTTAAATGGTTATGGTAAAGTAGAAAATGATAAAAACAAACTTTCACATACTTGGATTTCAGAAAAATCTAAACTAATTTTGCTTTTAAAATAGAATGTTGATTTATAATAATAGTTCTCAAACACTATCTGAAATGCTTTTGATCTAGATTCATTTGTAAAACTGACTTAAAGTGCCTGTGCGGTGCTTCTCCTACTTCCACTTGAGAGACTGACCCTCTGGGAGACCAGGGAATGAGGAGAGAGGGGACACTCGCCCAAGTCCATATGGAAGGCTACAGCTGGAAAGTGAAGGACCCTCAGGAAATGTTTATTTTTTCAAGAACAGTATTTGGGAGAGCCTAGGAGACGTCCTGATCCAACATGAAGGGAACAATCCAGGGCTGCAGGAAGCAAGTGTGGGTACAGCCTCCCCTCTCCCTGGCCGGCTGAGGGGCCAAGCCATTCCTGAGTTTTTGTTAGCAAGCCCAAGATATTGTACCAAACCAATGCCCTCACTTTAAAATCAAGGGGAACTGAAAACCTCAGATACTTTACTATTCCAAGAAAAATATGAATTCTTTATTCAAAACAGAAAAATGTAAGCCATTTTTTTTTGTTTTGAAATTAATTTCTAGCACAACTCAGCTTTTATTATCAGTTCTCATGTTGACTCATATTCTGATTGATTTGAAACTTTTGGAATAAGAAATGAGGAGTTCTCATGAAATAGAGTGGCTGTCCCCCAGTGGCTTCACGTGCTTACGTGAAGCCTGTCTTTAAAAACCAAAAATGTGTTTCAGTAAAGATTTATGGTTGATTGGATGGTTAACAAATATGTGGGGATTTTTAGACTTTCTTTGTCAAACTTTGAAATTATAATTTAAATAACTAGAAAATCCTCCAGGGTTTGTTACTACCATTGCTACTTCCATCCATTAATACTCATGTTCAAAAAGGCTGCTGCTCATGAGGACAGGTATTTGCAAACAGAGCAGTCTCCCTGGAGGTTCGTCTGATTTCACTCCCAAGATTCCAGAGTCTACAGATGAATTACTTTCAATCCACCACTCTGTAAAGATCTGACCTTTATTATTTACAAAATAATGCTATGAAATACATATTTAATGGCTGGCATTCAGGGTAGTGTATATATTGTCTGTTCATGACAAGATCTTATTCCTATTTACAAAATTGAGCTCAGATTCCTCTGACTGGACATTGTCGGAAAGAGTCATTGCCACATAAACAGGAATCTTGGTCTTCTGAAAATGGCCAAGTAGTGCCGTTGGACTCCAGGTGGTCACTGTTGTTGTGGTTAAAGCGCTTTCACTTTGTCAGTTACATGCTACAGGGCCGTTGCAATTGTTTGGAAACAGCTTTTTCCTTGAAAGGCTTTGGAATTAAGAGTGGAGCAACAATCCAGGTAAATGTTTCACGATTATATGACCCAGCAATGCCCAGCTCACATGCTCTTTAGGGGAAATGCCTGTGTATCTTTTAATGTATGAAACTAGGCTCCAATTAAGTGAAAGGAGAGCCACAGGGAGACAGCTCACCTTCTACCTGGCTTCCACTGAAGAGGAATTGCTGTGCAGTGAGTGGTATTCCCTGATGTTATCAAACAGGTTTACAGGCATTCAGATCTGAAGTGGACAAACATTCAGGGGACAGCCCACTGCCTTCTGTCCTGACACAATGTAGGGAAGGCTCAAGGCTTAGCCATCATTTTGAAAAATTTAGCATTCAGAATTCCATACAAATTCACCCATAGCACCAAATGGCTAATGGGATGAAAGGTAGTTGGCTCTCCTCTAGATATACCAGGTGTGCCCAGGTGTGTTAGCACCTGGGTTCAGCGCTAGCTCGCAATCGTAAGTAGCATGCATGGGACTGCTTTAAAATTTTTACAGACTTAACAGATAAATATCTACATCTGTATATCCTCATACCTGTCCATTCAAACCCTTTAGGAAGTCACACATTTACTTTTACGTGCAGATTTTATTTCATTTCTGGAATTCCCATTTGGAATTGTCTTCAGAGATAGGCTCAGAACCAGGGGTCTCCCTTTGCAGACCACTCTCCCTGCTGATTCCCTAACACTGCACCACCCACTGAGCACTCCTGCTTCTCTGTCTTGATCACCAAGGACTTCCACGTGTTTGCAAAAAACAAAAGAAACCCATAAAGAAACATCACTGCCTACCATTATGAATACATCCTAGGAGGCTTCCTCAGCAGGTCAGTGCCCAGCTGTGGTGGGCAGCATAGGCGCAGGGGAGGAGGGGTGCGGGGGAGGTGGAGGCTCCCAGGTGCTGAGATGCCAGAACAGAACCCTTGCTCTTCCTCTGCAGGGTTTCTCAGCTCCGTGGGCCCTGACCTCCCTCTCTTGACTGTCCAGCCTTGGGGTGAGGCTTGAGGCTTTCTTGACTTTTGTCCCCCCATCAGCCCTGGTCACCCCTCATTGCTAGTCCCTCCTGTGTGAGGGTGGCTGTCCCTCCTGTGTGAGGGTGCCTGTCCCACCTGTGTGAGGGTGGCTGTCCCTCCTGTGTGAGGGTGCCTGTCCCACCTGTGTGAGGGTGGCTGTCCCTCCTGTGTGAGGGTGGCTGTCCCTCCTGTGTGAGGGTGCCTGTCCCACCTGTGTGAGGGTGGCTGTCCCTCCTGTGTGAGGGTGGCTGTCCCTCCTGTGTGAGGGTGCCTGTCCCTCCTGTGTGAGGGTGGCTGTCCCACCTGTGTGAGGGTGGCTGTCCCTCCTGTGTGAGGGTGCCTGTCCCACCTGTGTGAGGGTGGCTGTCCCTCCTGTGTGAGGGTGGCTGTCCCTCCTGTGTGAGGGTGCCTGTCCCACCTGTGTGAGGGTGGCTGTCCCTCCTGTGTGAGGGTGGCTGTCCCTCCTGTGTGAGGGTGCCTGTCCCTCCTGTGTGAGGGTGCCTGTCCCACCTGTGTGAGGGTGCCTGTCCCTCCTGTGTGAGGGTGGCTGTCCCTCCTGTGTGAGGGTGGCTGTCCCTCCTGTGTGAGGGTGCCTGTCCCACCTGTGTGAGGGTGGCTGTCCCTCCTGTGTGAGGGTGGCTGTCCCTCCTGTGTGAGGGTGCCTGTCCCTCCTGTGTGAGGGTGGCTGTCCCACCTGTGTGAGGGTGGCTGTCCCTCCTGTGTGAGGGTGCCTGTCCCACCTGTGTGAGGGTGGCTGTCCCTCCTGTGTGAGGGTGGCTGTCCCTCCTGTGTGAGGGTGCCTGTCCCACCTGTGTGAGGGTGGCTGTCCCTCCTGTGTGAGGGTGGCTGTCCCTCCTGTGTGAGGGTGCCTGTCCCTCCTGTGTGAGGGTGGCTGTCCCTCCTGTGTGAGGGTGGCTGTCCCTCCTGTGTGAGGGTGCCTGTCCCACCTGTGTGAGGGTGGCTGTCCCTCCTGTGTGAGGGTGGCTGTCCCTCCTGTGTGAGGGTGCCTGTCCCTCCTGTGTGAGGGTGCCTGTCCCACCTGTGTGAGGGTGGCTGTCCCTCCTGTGTGAGGGTGCCTGTCCCTCCTGTGTGAGGGTGCCTGTCCAGAAGTCCTGGGCCTGCGCAGCATCCCATGCACCCTCAGCTCTGCCCTCGGTCCACCTGCCTGGCTTCCTAGTCCTTTTTATGAACCCACCACCCCCTCGGGGCTCATCCCACCAGCGGGGGGCAAAGCACATACAGTGGTGCCCCAGAACATCCTTGCCCAGGGGATCCCAGGGCAGGCACTGTTGGCAGAAGGGGCCCCACTGCCGCTCAGCGCTTCCCTCCCACCAGTAGCGCTGGCCAGTGGGACTGTGGAGCCCAGCACGGAATCACATTGGAGTGCTACAAATGGTCCTCATTTCACAAATAAGCTCAGCCTCCCACCCGCTGTGGCCTTACCTGCTGTGACTTCAGATATCCACTGTCAACTGTGACCCAAGAATATTAAACAGAAAAGTCCTAAGTTTTAAATTATGTACTGATCTGGTTAGCATGATGAGATTCTTGTGCTGTCCAGCCTGTCCTGCCCTGGACATGAGACATGCCCTGTCCAGTGTATCCATGCTGTATACACTGCCCACACAATAGTCACTTATCAGCCGTCTCAGTTATCAGATCAACTGCCATGTGTCCCACAGATGACGGGAGACAGGGTTCCAGAGCGCTGTGGAAGAGTGCTCCTCCAGGACCAGCCACAGCACCTGTGTGCACGCAGCCCTCACCTCCCTGGCCCCGTCCTCTGGCCATGTGCTCTGTGCTGGTGCCCAGTCCTGGAGGTGGGAAAGACCCACAGCTGCATCCGCCCAGCACAGTTGCCCATCCAGCCAGGTGTGAGACGGGGTTGGCCTCGCCCGCATCACCTGGTCGATGGCACTTCCTTTCTCTGTGCCAGGTGTCTGAGTGCAGTAGAGACCCCAGAGCAATGTCCCCATGGGGTTAGGGTTCCTCTGAGGCTGGAAGTCTGCCACTCCCAGAGCACAGCTGGGCTGTGGTCAGCTGGCTGGCTAGTGGGGTGTGATTCGTGTAACACTTCAGTTTAGAAAGTTTCTGCTCCCACGCACGTTCCTGGGTGGTGCTGGGAAGGGTCAGACTCCAGTCCTGCCCTCGGTCAACAGTGTGACCTGAAGTGAGCAGCTCAGTCTGAACAAGACGGTGCTTCCTCCGGGGCTTGTAGAATCCCAGAGGATCTGGGGACAGAGCCTCTGC